GCCCTCTCCCCGGTACAAACACTGGTCAGCCATCACTTCTCCCTCACCTTTGCTCTCTGCTCCAGCGGCGCTGCTCTCTGGCGTGGGCAGCATGTCCTCAAAGCCCCACGAAACACTGTGTTTCCCCCCTAACAAGCAGGACGGTGAGCCTGGACCTCCCTCAAGAAGCAGCAGTCTGCAAGTGAGAGGATATTACGCATTCTTGAGCAGCAAATCAGCACATTAGAATGATTTCTGAAGGATCATGTGACGCTGAAGACTGGAGTAATGATGCTGAAAATTCAGCTTATAAAACGGAGAGTTCCGGTCCTTGATTCTGATTGGTTGAGCCTCGTTCGAAGCTGTTGTAAATTACTCTACAAACACACACTTTTGTTTACTTCTGTGTGCTGCTCGGCAAACACTTTGTTGGAACCACAACTGTTTCTGAGGAACTACATTGCTTGGTGGAAGAATACTGTTTTTATTAATATCATTACACTTTATTTGCTCTGTTTTAATCTGTGAAACCTTACTACGTATATGGAAAAACCGTTTTATAAAAGCAATAAGCCCCGTGAAGCCGTGGTTTACAGTGAATTTATAACAGCTAAGGGGGTTTTACTCCGCTTCGCGTCGTAACCTAACAACGCCCCTTAGCTGTTATAAATTCACTGTAAACCACGGCTTCACAGGGCTCATTGCTTTATTTGATCACAGGAATAAATTACATTTTAAAATACATTCACATAGAAAACTGTAATACTAAATTGTAATATTATTTCACAACGTTACTGTTTTTACTAACTTTTGATCAAATAAATGCAGCCTCGGAGAGCAGAAGAGACTTCTTTCAAAAACGTTTTAAAAATCATAATTACTCTTAACCGCCAGTGTATACGGCTGGTGTATACAGTCACCAAAGCAGTTTAATTTCTGTTTGCCAATCTAAAAAATCATGTCAATAAAGCTCCAGAAAAAACAGCCAGTAACACCTTTCCTAAAATACAACATGAAGACACAACTCCTTCTAGTAAAGTTAAAGTTTTAAAACTGGTTAATAATTCCCACCCTGTTTATTCTGCACCATTCATAAGAGTTAACAGAAGCAGTTTAATATGTCTTCACAGACAGTAATATTACGACACAGCTCACCTGTAGAGAACATCCGCCACTGGAAGCTGACCCAGGTCTGCCTGTTTCTGCAGCAGGTGGACCGTGTGAATTAACGTTTTGAGGGAACCCCTGCAAACACAGACAGAACAACAGAGTTTTGTTAGTTTCCTTGCTGTATTTCCCTTTGTTTTTTGACTGATATAGTGATGCATGTAGCTATGAAATCAAGAGAGACTCCTTCCTAGACATATCAGATCAAAAGTGGTTGAAGGAGAGGCACTGAGTACTTTAGTACTTAAGTGCCGTGTGTCTCAGCTTACCATTTATGATTGACTGGATAAACTGATTGTTTAAAAGGGCCAAAAATACATTGAGAGTACCATACTTAACTGGGGCAACTATACTGAGATATAAACATTTCAACTAACAGATATCATCATAATTCCTAATGTTCATTTTGAACATTGTATAAAGCCAGGTTTAAAATTCTCCTTCATTTTGCTAAAATAACTAGAGTTAAATGACTTGCATGTTAGAGTTACATATGGGATTATGGATCTATTTTTATTACTCCATAAATCGGAAAAAATGTCAATAGAAAAAAAAAAATCTTTTTTTTTTTTTTAGAAATTAAATGTCATAAATCAGGCAACAAAAAAATCAGAACATATGACTAAAACTAAAGTTTTATGCAAGTGTGAAAAAGTGAGAAAAATCTCAGCATTCAAAAATATGAATTTTAATTGAACTCCAATGATGCAAATACATACAAGTGCAATAAAGTGCAATAATATAATTTGTCTTTCCACTAGTGTGAAAAAGACATAGCACGAAATAGCACGTGGATAAACTACAAACAAGCAAACACAGTGCTGCTGGATTAACCATATCAATTTCTCGTTTTTACACAATACTGATATGGATTCTTAAATCTCAAGATCGATCTTTTAGTTTGTGCTGTTTTCTGTTGCATGAACTTCACTAAATATTATTTGTAGCACCTGTCATCCAATAATCACAATAAGATGTGTGCTTTGTAACTTTTAATATGAAACAAAGTCTCAGCTTTCAAATTATGTTAATTTGATCATTATCATGTCTCATATAATCACTCAGTGTTTCAACCGTGGAAAGATGTCAATTTAGGTTAGTTTTTTGTGATACTGACACTGGTGACAATAATTATTAATTTCTATGGTATCAAAAATGTTAATATCATAAACACCTTATTTAAAGCAAAAATAACTATATCGTGATATATATTGGAATGTGAAATAAAATTACTCATATCTTGATGTAAGATTTTGGTCATATCGCCTACCCTTAATGTGATTAATTAATTGGTTATTAAAGGGATAGTTCACCCAAAAATGAAAATTCTGTCATTAATTGCACACCCTCGTGTCGTTCCAAACCCGTAAGACCTTCGTTCATCTTCAGAACACAAATTAAGATATTTTTGATGCAATCCGAGAGCTCTCTTACCCTTCATAGACCGCAACACAACTGAAATGTTCCCAGGTCCAGAAACATAGCAAGGAAATCGGTAAAATAGTCCATGTGACAATACTTTTTGTGCGCAAAGAAAACAAAAATAATGAATTTATAGAACAATTGATGAGGAGAAGAATTGTGGAATAAAGTTGCTATTTTTGTTTTCTTTGCGCACAAAAAGTATTCTCGTAGCTTCGTAAAATTACAGTTGAACCGCTGATGTCACATGGATT